CAGCAGCACTTAGCGGATTTGGAAGCAGTATTTGAAATTTTAGACGAGCGCTGCCTATTGACCAAGGGTTCCAAGTGCGAGTTTTTCCAGGACACATTATTGGGGCACATTATTTCGGAGGCTGGGGTTGAGATTGACCCGAAGAAGCTGGACACGGTCAAAGCGTGGCACCCCCCTACAAATATCACGGAGCTGCTGAGTTTTTTGGGGTTCGTTAATTACGTCCGTCGGTTCGTCCCCGACATGGCCCGCTTAACAGCCCGACTGGCGGATTTACTGCGGAAGGGGGTCGCTTTTACGTGGGGGGGGGGGGGGGGGGGGGGGGGGGGTGGGGAAAGAGCAAGCTGCCTTCTCTGCCCTGTAAAATATCCTTTCTTCACCGCCCATATGCGCATCGCAGACCCACACCGCCCGTTCGAAGTTGTAACCGATGCAAGCGACATCGCCATCGGAGCTGTACTGCTACAGGAATTTGGCAACGACCTACAGCCCATCGCATACAAATCACGAAAACTGCATCCACCCGAGAAAAATTACCCGATACACGACCGCGAAATGCTTGCAATCGTGCACGCGTTCAAAGTGTGGCGCTGTTACTTGACCGGCGCAGACGTGACAGTACGGACAGACCACAAATCACTACAGTACCTCCGCGCACAGCCCCACCTCAATCCACGACAGATTCGCTGGCTCGATTTCCTCGAGTCAAATCTCCACTACACGGTCACCTACAAGAAGGGGGCATCAAACATCGCCGACGCACTGACCTGCCCCACTGCCCAGATCCACGCCATACTACTCGCCCAGACCAGCCCACTACTGACAGGACTATTTACCCACGGCTACCAAACTGATCCATTCTATACCGGAGGAAATTCGCAGCAGTTCGCCACAGCAAAAGGAGTTTATTACGTAAAAACCGGGGCTGACCGCATCTGGGTACCAGGGTACACATTACTGCAGGAGCTACTGCTACAGGAGCCACAAGATGGAGTTACCTCAGGGCATTTCGGAGTAGAAAAAACACGGCAGCAACTGCAGCGATATTATTACTGGCCTGAGATGCTGACCGACTTGCAGCGACACGTGGCATCGTGTCCCACCTGCCAGCTCATGAAATCATCACGGAAGCGGCCGGCAGGACAGTTGCAGCCGATACCACCCCCAGAGCGTGCTTGGCAGCAGGTGACGATGGACTTCGTCACGGGGTTACCGGCTGGAGCGAGTGGGAATGATGCTATCTTGGTCGTCGTCGATCGGCCGACGAAATGGCACACTTCGCAGCTTGCAAAAAATCATTTACGGTCGAAGAAACAGCTCGCCTCTTCATCGTTCGACTAGACGGGATACTAGTAGCAATCATTAGCGACCGCGACAAGAAATTCACTAGCAACTTCTGGCGGAACCTGTGGCAGCAGTTCGGCACACGACTACAGTTTTAGTTCTTCATACCACCCCGAGACCGACGGACAGACAGAAAGGACAAACTAGACCATGGAGCAACTCATCCGAGCCACGTGCGCCAACCCAACCACCTGGAAACAGCAACTGCCACTCATCCGTTTCGCATACAACAACTCGCCATCCGCCACGACCCAACAGTCACCGTTTTACCTGAACTACGGACAAATCCCATGTACCCATGATCCCAAATCCCGACAACCCGGTACCACACGCACAACAGTTCGCGGAGATTTTACAGGCAGCACGGACCCGGGCAGCAGACGCAATAAAAAAAACAAACATCATCACTAAACATAACGCAGATCGCCACCGCCGACCTGTTACCTACCAGCTCGACGACCTAGTCCTACTCGACACCCAGAACCTCCGCCTGCCCGTCACCCCAAAACTCCGCCTCCGATATTGCGGGCCATTTCGCATCAGCTGTCAGAAGAACTAGGCAAGAATGATTGAAAGGAGAGAGAGGTTTTCACTAGCAGCAGTTGGGGTACATATAGCAAACCCTAACTGGGTTGTACTCGCTATAGAGCACCCCACTACAGGCTAGACAATAATAACATTTTGACACACCCCCATAGCCAAAGTGGGGTGTAATCAGCAGAGCAAGCAAAGCAGTACAAGCTCAGGGTGGATCACAATGTCACCACACATTCTGAGCACAAGTTCAAGAAGCAATAGTTTAAAGTTCACAGTTATGAGCAAAGCTAGAGGCAGTCACAGAGGGCAAGCGAGGAGGAGGAGGGCTGGCGAGAGGAGAGAAGATGAAAGGCGCCGACTGAAGCTGCAGACACACGGGCAACAGGAGCGGCGCGCACAGTGGCTACCGAGCGCACGAGGGCACCGGACTACGGGAGTATCTGGCTCCGCGGCTACGACGAGCACACACAGGAGCAACGGACCCACAGGCGACTGGCGAAGCAGGCTCGCTGGGCTACCGAAACGCGCGAGGGCATCCGGACTACTGGCGCTGCTGGCGTCACGACGGCTACCTCCACGCAATCTCCCCCGACCGTCCCACGCCCCTCTCACACACCCCCTGCTGACACCCTAGCTCCACTCCGACGGTACCCCCCTTAAACCCCAAACCCTAGGCTCCCACACACCACCCCCCTCAGCGGCAGCTGTAGCAGAGGGAGACGAGGGAGGAGGAGGAGCAGGGGGAGGAACTCACAACCGACACCCCCATAGCCGCCACCCCCACACTCTTCACCCCCAAACCCTAATTTAGGAGAACGGGCTGTAGGAGGGGTGAGGCGCCGGTAGAAGCACGGGGGACAGTGGAGAGGGCAGGAGCAGCGAGGAACGGGCCGCCCACGGGCCTGGTAGAGCCGCCCGAACCGCGCGCAGGCGGCCCGAGCCGCGCGCGGGCCTGGCGCTTCCCGTACGGGCCGCGCGCGTGCCTGGCGCAGCCCGTACGGGCCGCGCGCGGGCCTGGCGCAGCCCGTACGGGCCGCGCGCGGGCCTGGCGCAGCCCGTACGGGCCGCGCGCGGGCCTGGCGCAGCCCGTACGGGCCGCGCGCGGGCCTGGCGCAGCCCGTACGGGCCGCGTGCCGGGTGTACGGGCCGCGCGCAGGCCACGACGGGCGACGGGGGGCGACGCGCGGGTCCCCGTCGCCCGTCGCAGCGCCTCCCGGGGGCGACGTGCCGAGTGACGGGGCAGGAACCCGCCGCGCGCCTCGGGGCACACGGCGGGCAGAGAACCGCCGCGCGCCTCGGGGCGCACGGCGGGCAGAAAACCGCCGCGTGCCTCGGGGCGCACGGCGGGCTGAAAACCCTAGTTTCGACGCCGCGCGCCACGGGGCGCGCGGCGGACAGGGAGTAGCAGTAGCAGTAGCAGTAGCAGTAGCAGCGGAAGGCTTAGGTGGTGGGCCCACCCACAGGATCGACCCAGGAGGGTCGACCTGCTCTGATACCATGTCAGAAGAACTAGGCAAGAATGATTGAAAGGAGAGAGAGGTTTTCACTAGCAGCAGTTGGGGTACATATAGCAAACCCTAACTGGGTTGTACTCGCTATAGAGCACCCCACTACAGGCTAGACAATAATAACATTCTGACATCAGCCACATGATCACACCCGTCACCGCCCACCTCCTCCTCCCTGCTGACTGGTACGTCAACCCGTCCTTCCACGTCAGCTTACTTCGCCCCTACGTCCCAAGCACCAGCCAACTGCCTCGCAACCGCCCAGCCAGCATGACACGACCGCCGACAGAGCCAGTCATCACGCCCGACAAGATTCCGAGCCACCGAGTTCGTGACCCACGGGGAGCTCGACGGATCGAGTTCGTGATCCGCGGGAAGGACCGTACACCCACTGAAGACAACTGGGTTCTCTCGGACAGAATTGAAAATCTCCTCGTCCTCGCCGAGTATCTGCGCAGCCAAAATTTCGTAAGGAAGGCCTCCTTAGAGGGGGGGTTAGTGTAAGGAAAATTCATTTTCCTTACTTCGCGTCCCTGCTCAGCGCGTACAGCACTGTTCCCGCCAACAGCACCCAACAGTAATCCGTTACCACTCGCGACACTCGCCTCGGTACTGTTCCCGCCACTGTTCACGACGCGACCCAACCTCACGGTTCGGTTGGTAACCCGCGCTCCGGACCTCCGCCTCGGCATTTCCCACCCTCGGCGCTAGGCCCGTCGCGCACCCCAATTTCCACACATTACCGTTACCACTGTAGTTTCGCTATATATTCTTCGCTCATGCCTTCGCTCATTGTACTCTTGCTTCGATAGTGCAATTCTCGCTCGCTCGCTCAATTGCACTCGTAACATTGAATCACAACTTGCCAGCTGGTGCTTTGGAAGCCTCGAGCGAACAAGTAACAACCTGTTTTCCAAGCAACAAAAAACTTCTCCATATAAAAACCGTGGAAAAGTAAGTGTGTTTTGAGACGTCTCAAAACTACCCCCAGCCCGCGTGTTGGAGGAGATGCTCGTTGTTGTAACTAGTTAGCGAGTGTGCTGGCGAGAAGAGTCGCATGTTGTGCGAAAAGGACGCCGTTGAAGATCGGTCGTAGGAAGACTGGCGGGTAACCGCTGGCACGAAGTCGCTGGAAGAAAGCAACCTTTGTCGTTCGGAAGGCCGTCGCTGAGGTCGAATGTAACAGGTAACGTTGCAGTTCGGCGCGGATGAACCCCTCTTTACAGTGCCGTGGGTTGAAGGAGGAGAAGGGGAGGTATAGGTACCTATTCATCGGCTTCTGGAATGTGCCGAGGTCTAGGAAACCAAGTTCGTGGAAACGAGGCCCTAAGAACCACATCCAGAAAATTCACCGAACGTTCCAAGATGTTCCACGTGATCCGAATGTTCGGATCCAAGCTGTTGAAGGTGCGCAGGTAATCCTCCAAATCAGACCGCGCGCCTGGCCAGATGATCAAGCCATCGTCAATATATCGGACGTGGTAACAAGGTGACTCCCTGGTCCACCTCTCCTTCAGCAGCTCATCGAGACAACTCAAGAATAGGATGGCGAAGCAAACGGCGACGGGGGTTCCCATCGCAGTCCCGTGCACCTGGTGGTACATCCGATCGTCAAATTCCACGAAAGAATTTCTCATGACCCAACCCAGAAGGGCCATGAGCGGTTGAGCGAGCTGCGGGATTTTCCCTCGGCAAGAAACGGCTAACTACTTCGAGTCCTCGATCAATGGATATGCTGGGGTAGAGCGAGGTGACGTCGTAAGTAGCTAAGAGGATGTTAGGCGGGAAGGCCGTTGTCTCCAGCTTCGCTAGCAATGCGAGAGAATTGCGCAGATAGGTAGCACGTTTTAGAACTAGCGGTCGAAGTTGCGCATCCAGCCACCGACTCGCGTTAGTTGTCACCCATGAGTGTAAAGCTGCAATCGGGCGCCCCACTGGTGTCTTCTTATGGAGTTTGGGTAGGATGTAATAAGCCGCTAGACGCCACCCTCCTGGCGGTTTGTCAAAGAAGAATTTCCAGATACTGTTCGGGAAAGCAGGCCCCCATGTCGTCTTCAGCTTGCTCAGCTGTTGCAGAACACGAGGAGTTGGGTCGTGACGAACCGGTCTGTAGACATCCGCGTCGCTCAAATGCTCCATACACATCGCGACGTAGTGTGCTCGATCCATCACCGTCACTCCCACATGCTTGTCAGCTGCCTTGATGACTATGCTGCTGTCGAGCGATAGGGAACGTATAGCCGCGCGCACACCCCGTGAGAGGTTCTGTCCCCGCAGCGGCTTACACGTCTTCACCAGGAAAGAAAGGTCGGCTCGCGCCTCCTTGAAGACTTGCTCCGGGACCTCGGCCCGATCGGGCCACCAATTCGGATTCTTCACCCGGAAACGTGATGAAGCTGATGGTCCTTTTCCCTTGAAGAAAAAGTCGAGGGAGATCCGTCGATGCAGCTGATGCAAATTTGCTTCGATGGAAAACTTCCAGGCTGATGTTGGTATAAACTTCAGTCCCGTCCCAAGCGCCTTAGTCTTGTCGCGAGATAAGACCTTAGCGCTCAGATTGTGTACTCCCCGGTCCAGAATGCGTGACTGCGCCTGTCATAGAGTCGTCAGCTTCCCGAACCAGCGGAGTGCGAGGTTTTGAGGTGTTAGTTCTTGAGCGGCCCTTTAGCTGGGCCGCCGCCGCCGTTTTTTGGAACCTGGGCCGTACTCGAGGAAGTTTGTTGGCCCTTCCCTCCGTCGCCACCTGAAGACTTTGCTTTCTTCTTTCCCTTCCCGCGACGCCGCGTAGCCTTCGGTACATGTGCCTTGGCACCAGTGTTCATCTGGCGATCCTTGGACGGGTCCGCCTTGGGCTTTGCTGCTGCAGGGGCCGGCTTGAAATCCTGCGATCCCATTGACAAGCTCTTCTTAAACTTGGCAGTAAGCTTCGCTTCGACGCTCGCTGCAACCTCCTTGCACATCGCCTCCGCGTGCTTCTTGGCAGCTTTTCGAACAAGCTCGTTGATCGCCAAGTCTGTTTCCAGGTGCTCCATCTCTTCGGCAGCGGCTGCTTTCTTCAATTCTTCAGCGTCCTTGATTCTCTGCCTCTCCAGCTCCTTGATGATAAAATTATCTTTGGCGACAGCAATCTCCAACTTGGCTTTCTCGATGCAGTTCCTTTGGTCTTCCGGTACCTTTCCCTAGCCGAATCAGATATGGTTAGTTCTGGATCCGCAGTCAAGCCCTTGATGTAGTCTTCGAGCTTAGTAGCCAGAGTGGTGAAATGCGAGGAGGACGCCGCCAGGATTTCCTCAACCTCCGACTCCTTAGACTTGATGAAGTCCTCCCGAAACCCGAGATGAACCGAGGCGACGGATGCGGCAGACTTCTCCCGAGTAACCGAGTACTTCGTATGAAACTCCACGGCTTTGGTGCGGATGCTGTGTAAAATCACACCTTGGCCGTTTTGCGTCTTCATCTTCTTCAGCTTGGACTTCGCCTTGAGGAGCGCCTTAAAATCCGCTCTGAAGCCCTTGACAGCAGCCGATGTCCAGCCTTTAAGGGTGCGTTAGATCCGTTGTCGGAAAAATCCGGCCGGCCGGAGTTTGCGAAGGTTACACACTTGCGAAGGTCGCAATGAGTTTCGTCAGCTTCGTGGAATCCGGCCACTTGTCAAAAATTTGATGGCCGGTTCAACATTCGACAGGTTTCCGACGTGCATTCGAATCGAGAGTCGCCCACTTTGTCGACTCGTCAGCGCTACAGTACTCAGGCGACTTCGCAAGCGTACCCAAGCAACACAACGTGTCATAAGGACGGCGCGCACGGCACTTTCAGCGCCGTTGAACAAGACCATCTTTGGGCGTCACACTTGTGAAATGCGGCACGTGCAAAATCACGCAAAACCAATCCGCGACCCGCCAACCAGGCTTGACTGGAATGGGATTGTTCAACTTCCTCGTCACCTCACTTCATCGCATACTGGGTTTTAAAACCACAGACACGCTCGTAGAAGCTCAAACAGACAATGGCCAACAGAGAGAGCAACGATCTGAACAGCCAGGCTAGCGACAATGGCGGCACCCCAGGCAATCGTATAGATACACAGCAGTCCACCAACGACCCCCAACCTCCATCCATTAGGACCCGCGGTGAGTCCTCTCGTGCTCACGTTAACCCGTGGGAGCGTAATCCTTCTCGGTGGATAAACAACTTACCCCGCCCAGACTCGACGTATGGCATCAATGATGACTACGGGGTTGGCGAGGACCCAGTTTTTCGAACGGACCCGAGAAGAGGACGAGAGAGCCCAGGATGCCCGAGACGCCAAGAAGCGTAAAGGAGAGCAGAAAAGCGATTCCGCCTCAAAATCGGAGTGAAACCCGCGATCTCGCTGCCGTGGTGTGCAAGGCTGGCGGCCGGTCCATGAAGCCACCATCTATTGCGCGGGTAAGGCAGCTCCATGCGGTATCTTGTGCCAAGGACCATTTCGATGTTACGCAGGGTTACCACCGCCGCCACGGTGGCGGGCACATGGCGACGGTGGCATTCCATTCGAGCGTCCAAGATCCGCCACTTAGTCTTCAGTCGCCCATTGACTTGTTCAACTATCATTCGCGCCCGCGACTGCTGCTTGTTCCACACGGCTTGCGCGTCCGGGAGTAGCTGGCCAGGGGTTGCTCGAAACGGCACGTAGGTGTAGTTTTTCAGGCCGTATGCCGCATCACTGACGATGCAGTAGTTGCCAATGCCCCCGTTTTCAATCTGTTGTTTTGCTCTTGAATTATTGAAAACCTTAGAATCATTGCAAGACCCCGGCCATCCTGCCAGCATGCTCCAAAGTATCCCGTTGGCGTCGACGAGTAATTGCAGTATAATGCTGAAGAACCCTTTGCGGTTCTTAAAATCTTCCGCGTGAGGTCCGGAACCCCGTGTGTGTATGTAGGTGCCGTCCATGGCACCTACAATCCCAGGGATGCCACTGTCCCATTTAAACTCTGCTTCTGAGTCGGCGAGGGCGTCGGCGTCAGGCCATACTATCCACTCATGAATGAGCACGTCCTCATTGAATCGTATCCAAGCTTTCACAATCGTGTGGGCGTGCGCGTGTGAGAAACCGAAAAGCAAGCCAAGCTGACGATAGGTCATACCGCTTCCGAAGCGTACGAGGACGAGTGCTACTTGAAGCGCCACCTTGCATGCCTGTCTGCCACTGCTGATGAGGTGTTCAGACCACACGCGACAGAGGTAACCAAAAACGTCGTGATCAACTCGCAGTGCTTCGTATAGGTGATCTGGCGACATGTGCAGGAATCTGTCCATCCAACGAGCTCGCTGAATACTTCGGTCATTTCGCCAGAAGGACTGGTAATCACTTTCGTCAGCGTAGTCGAGGAGCAACGGCACCATGACACCTACTGACGCAACCAAGGGGATGAGCACGACGTGCGTGAGGCCCATTGCTAAACGTCGTGCCTATCTGGGTGTGAAAGGTGTGGCCATGTTGGACAATGACTAGAGGGTAGGGGTGAGTGTGCCTTTGTATGCGCCCGCCACACTCGGTTGGGGTACACGCCACAACCTTCGCCGAGGCGGGTTGTAAATGGAGCCGCGGATCACATCTTGACCCTCTTTTCCATTCGACACAGTTTAGTTTGTGTCACCCTAGGTACAATATGTGCGACGCCGTCGCACAATCCGGCCAGTCGCTCAACCTGCAAATCTGACACTTTTGCAATCAAGCCTGTAAGTCGGCCACCAAACCTGTCAGTTTGCAGCACCGTGCAAATTTGGCCGGAAGGTGGTCGGTGTTGAATTCGACCATACAGTCGAATTTGGCGAAAGGTATAGCCGACCAAAAGGGCGACAAAATTGCAGCCAAAACACAATTTTTTGAGAAACTTTCTCTTGATAAGGTCAAAATCAGGGACCACAGAGTCGATACCCTATTAAGTCAGGGTCCACTAACAGGCTAGTTTGTTACACTATACTCAAAATCAGTGATAGGAAAACTAATACTATGATTTGAACAGGGTTGAGAACTTAGTAATTCTGAAATCTCAGTCTTCGCAAAGTGGAAAGCCTGAAATCACCTTGAAATCAGGGTAATTACCCTAATAAAATCAGCCCCGGATGGGAATCGGGATGGGACCGACCATTTTGATCCGTGCAAGTGTCAGAATTACATTATTATAACTACATGTAGATCTAGCAGTAGTGTAGTTATCACATTCTGTTTGGTGGATTACCCCCTTTCCTCCCCTATTTGTACCCTTGACTCTATAGTGAAAGCCCCTTCTCCTTGCACTAAACTCTCTCGACACCCTTCCTCTCAACCCTTGCCATGGCTCCTAAAGCCACTACCTAAGTCCTCCTTCTAACGGCAAGTGCTTCTTATAAATTGAACAGTTTCTTTCCTCACCCGCGCGTCGGTCAGTACCGTCACAAACGTGGAGGTGATCAACTAACTCGTTCATAGACCTTCCTTTTGTAGGACCCTTGCCTCTTATGTCAAATGTTGTAGCCTGTAGTGAGGTTTGTCTTAGGGGGTACAAAAGTTAGGGTTTGTTATATGTACCCCAACCAACATCAATGCATCATCAGTTCCTTTCTTAACATGGTATCACCTAGGTTCGGATCCTGTGGGATCCCGCTCCTCCCGACCTCGTTCGTATCGCCCGAGCCTGTCTCACTCTGTCGTACTAGTTGCACACGTCTTGCCCGAGCCTAGCGCCGGCCCGCTCTAGTCGCGTTCGTTCGTTACCGCCCGTTCCGCCGATCCACTGTTCTCGTAGCGTAGCGACCTTCTCCCCCCCCCCCCCTCCCCCCTGCTGCCCGTCGCGTTTCCCCCCCCCCCCCCCCCCCCTGCTGCCCGTCGAGTCGCGTTTTTCCCCCCGCTGCCCGTCGGGTCGCGTTTTCCCCCCCGCTGCCCATCGAGTCGCGTTTTGCCCCCCGCTGCCCGTCGAATCGCGCCTTCCCCTGCCCCCGTCGCGTCGCGCTCTCCCCGCCCGTTGTCCCGTCGTGCCCTCCCCCGCTGCCCGTCAAGCCCGTCGCGTCGCGCCTGCCCGCCGTCGCGTCCCTACCCCCGCCCTACGCGCCCGCCGCGTCGTCTCTACGCCAGCGCGCCCGCTGCGCCCGCGCCTCCCCGCGCCCTACGCCCTGCGCCCGTCACCCGTCGCCTCCCTACGCCCTGCGCCCTGCGCCCGCGCCTCCCCTCGCCCTGCGCCCTGCGCCCGTTCCCTCCCCGCGCCCTGCGCCCTGCGCCCTGCGCCCGCGCCTCCCCGCGCCCTGCGCCATGCGCCCCTTGCCTCTCCGCGCCCTGCGCCCGTACCTCCCCACGCTCTGCGCCTGAGTGCTCGCTGCGCCCGTTTGCCATTTGCCTGCCGCTCTGCTCTGCCTCCGCTTTTCCGTCAGTTTTAGCTATGGCGACTCCTCGTGTTCTTCGTTTCAACGCTGACGGTAGACCCCTTGACTTTTCACTCTGGCTTATGCGCGCTCGCCGTCTATTAGAGAGTCAGGTCCAGTCAGGCGAGACCCTCTGGGCGCACGCTACTAGCGCCCTCCCTGCGCCCCCCGAACCTACGCCTTTAGGCCCTGCCCCTGACGACGCCGCTAGAGCCCACTTTGCCATCCAGTGCGCTGACCTGACGGCTTGGACGTCGCGTGACGCTGCGGCCTGCATCGCGCTCAGCACCCTCCTCCCTGAGTCTGAGGAGGTCCACTTTACTCAGGTTCGCACTGCTGCTGAGTACCTGACTGCGATTAAGGCCCGCTACTCCACTCCTGCTGCTGTCTCTCTTGGCCGCCTTTTCCTCCCGTTCCTGTTTCCTGATCTCGCCTCATTTGAGCGCTCTGCTGACTTGATTGCTCACCTCCGCTCGCTCGACTCTAGTTACCGCGCTGCTTGCACTGAGGCACAACTTGCACTGCTTCCTCCCCCCGTGGCGATTACTATCTATTTCATCGCCACTAGCCTCCCTGACCGCCTTGCCTCCGTTCGTGACGTGCTTCTGCTGAAGCACCCTAGTGAGCTCACTATTGAGGTCCTTGAGTCTGCGCTCAAGGACGTCGAGAGCAACCTCCGCTCCGTAGCCGCTGCCTCTGGTGCTGTGCCCCCCCCACTCTTCCACGGGTGCACAGTCCCGCAGTTGCCCACCTTTACTGCCTCTCTCGCCACTGCCGCTACTGACGCGACCGCAGCTGCTGTTACGACTTCGTCGCGGTCCCGCGGTAGGGGTGGCAAGAAGGGCGGTGCTGGCAATGGTGTTGGTGGAGGCGGAGGTAGTGGGGGTGGCGTTGCGACTGGCGGTGGTGGGAGTGCAGGGCCTGGAGAGACGTCTCGTGCAGCGACCGGTGACTCCACTGCGCCTGCTGGTGGTGGCGACGCCCGAGTTCGTCAGTCGCCCCCTGTACTGCCAGCCCCGGTGGGTGGAGCAGCGGCGTGGTACCGGGCCCAGCGTCAGCAGCAGCGGCCCCTCT